GAGGCAGGAGACTCGCTTGAGCCCAGGAGTTGGAGGTTGCTGTGAGCTGTAATGCCACGACACTCCACCCAGGGGACAGGTTGAAGCTCTGTCTCAAAAAAAAAAAAAAAAAAAAAGAAATATCTACCTTAAACCAAACATCAACACCCTCAACCCAACTTTGCCCTCTCTCCAAGAGGCTACTAAAACCTTATCAAGGTAGAAAACACCCTTATCACGGTAAGGCACAAACTCAGCTTTTTCTTATCAATCAATCCCTTTGGTGATATTTTCAGGAAGAACACATTCAATAATTTTTTTTCTTTTTTGAGACAGAGTCTCATTTTATTACCCTCAGTAGAGTGCCCTGGCCTCATAGGTCACAGCAACCTTCTTGGGCTCAAGTGATTCTCTTGCCTCAGCCTCCCAGGTAGCTGAGACTACAGGCCCCCCTGCCACAACACCTGTCTATTTTTAGAGACAGGGTCCTGCTCTTGCTCAGGCTGCTCTCCAACTCCTGAGTTCAAGCAATCCACCTGCCTCGGCCTCCCAGAGTGTTAGGATTACAGGTGTGAGCCACTGCACCTGGCATCAACAATTTTTTTTTTTTAAGTTACTGTCTCTCGTGTTCTAAAGTGGTATAACTAAGAAGAGACCACAATGAAAATATTTTTTTAAAAATGAAGAAAATAGCAGACAATAGCTTCATTTTCTACCAGGGTTTTACAACTGCTCAATAATAGTTTGAATCATTTCTTTCTCCTAAGAGAAATGGCAAACAATTTCAGAGAAGGACCTAGAAGAGTGAGATTTTTTTAGTATTCTGCCATACTTGATAGAGTGCTACACTAAGGCATGTTGAGCCCAAACTTCTTATTGTATACAACTTATTAAAAATTTTGGCATGTTCCATATGTATACATACACATATATAAATTTTATACATGTTCTATTATATTGTAACTTACAAAACATATATAAAGTACATAAAACAGAAATTTTTTAAATGTTGAAATTAAAAATATAAAAATAGAAGCTAATTTTTTTTAATCCAAAAGAATTTCCTATTCTCCCTGGGATGAATTGAAACTGAACTATAGAATTAGATCTTTCAAGATTTTCCTTGCATTCTTACAAAAAGTTATAGCAAACAAAAGACCTGGGCCCTTGAAGTTTAATTTATTACGTGAAAACAATTCAAAGTTGACTGCTAGCGTACGTATGCTTGAATGACTATATCTGTGCTATTATGATCACATGCTTTCTCTTGCCTGAATTGCAATCATGAAGACAGAGTGCATTTGTTTATAACAGCTGATAAATTGGGCCCAAGATTGAGTTTATTTAATAAATTAATAATTCAAAATGAACATTTTACTTTGTATGTCCTACTAACTGGTTATAATTATTATTACTAACAATCGTAAGCAGGTTTTAGACAAGTATAACAAATGATCATATTATTTCAACCAGATTATACACCTCTTAAAGAGAGAGTGCTTCTTTATTCTCCAGGTGTAGACACAGCATCTTTTACATAACAGGTGCTCATAAAAATGTTCACTTTAATTTTCTTCATCATCATTTGCTCAGGCCCTTGGGCAAGCGGCCCTGTCTTTATTTCCCAGCAGGTTTAACCACCCTGTCACCTGGCATCTTTCTGTCCCTGACATGACAACTTCCACCGATTTTTGACAGTCGCCAAAGAAAGTCTGCAAATAGAAAACATGCTAACTAAGCTTAAAAATAAATAAATCAGTACTTTGGCAATATACAAATGTTGGTTTCACAGTAACAATTTTTCTTGTCACCAAACTGATTTCTCTCAGCAAATTCACAAACAATTTAGCTCCTGGAGATTGTAACATAAGGGAAGAGAGTGGGGAGGAGGTTGCCTTAGAAAGGGAGGATCAGGCTCAGAATGTTTATTTCCAGAAGGAAAAAAAAAAATCCCCAGAAAGCCTTTCATCCAGGAGGTATCTGAACTCCTTCCAGATGAGAACTGTTATTTAGTTTCTGCCTAGACATTAATTTGGGAGGAAGAAGAGGAAAGAGTTAATTGGTGCAATTCACCCTTAAGCTTCTTTGCAATTCCAAGACTGGTTCAAAATTGGAGAAAATGGTGGCGCCCAACACCCCCAAATTCTGAAGCCCCTCCACCCTCTTCACTTACAAATTAAAAGGAGGGTGGGAGGGAGGGGGGAGAAGGAACGAAGAAACGAACAGACAAGACAGAAAAAGAAAATCCTGGTCCTCCATTTCATTCTCCATTTCTGAGATGACCTAGTTCTTTTAAGAGAAAAATCCAGCACGTGGGTGTGTGGGTACGAGCAAAGGTCCCGCTCTCCTCATGAGACCCACGTAGCCAGAGCAAGGCACTTCCCCTTCTCCACACCCCACTCCAACCCAACTGGCCTCCAACTATTTTATAAATTCTGGCGGACTTGGAATCTCTCCCCTTGGACTTGAGTGAACTGACCGAGGAAAGCGGATCCGGCCAGACCAAGAGATTGAAAAGTGCATCAGCAATTCAGATACGGGGTAACGCTGGGGCGGGCAGGCTTGGACTCTCCCGCTCCCTGTGACTAGGACACAGCTGGCTTTGAATAAGAACACTAAATGCACTATATTTGGTCTGTCGCCCGGCCGCCGGCTGGTGGCACCCCGCCACTCGTCCCCGCCAGCCAGGCCCTGGCCCTGGCTTGCGCGTTACAGGGAATGCCCATCAGCTGGCAGTCACACCTGTTAGGTGTTTCTCCACTCGGTGCCTCCGCCCTGCAAGCTTCCCCCCACACGGCTGGAGCCCCGGGTGCTGAGCGCGTGAAAGGGGTGGCTGAAGCCGGGCCGGTTTTCCCGAACAGACCCCCGCAGGACTCACTGCAGAGGGCTGGGGCGGGGACGGGGGCCGGTGAAGGCGGGAGAGATCGATAAAGGCAGAGAGGGGTATGCGGAGGGCAAGGGGAAGGGCGGCGGCTGCTCGCGTTACGCTTCCAGAGCCTACAGCAGAGGCGCGGGGCTGAGCTGTGGAGGGGATGGGGCTTGTACCAGCCTCTGCGTTGCTCCTTGCAGCCCCGGCGCCACCTCCCCTCGTCTGGCCTTGGCGCCCGCTAGGCCGTGCACGGTGAGCGCGGGTGCTGGCGGGCTACACCTCGCCCGGAAGGGCAGGGCACGGCGGGGACACTCCCGGAGCCGGGCGGCCCGCGCGTCGCCAGGGCGCACCAGCTCCCACTGCCGCAGAATCGCGGCCGGGACGGAGCTCCCTGCGCGCCCCCCGGGGGCCGGTAGCGGCTGAGAGGAGGCGCGGGGCTCGGCTGCTCGGCCCGGCTGCTCAACAAACACAGCAGCGGTGACGCGGGCTCAGGCGCTGGGCAGCTTGCGAGCCCATGGCGGGTAGCGACATGGACAGCGAGGGGCCGGCACGGAGGGGCGGCGCGGCGCGGCGTCCGGGGGCGCCCGGCGGGTCAGGAAGCGAAGCGGCCTCCGGCTGCCCGGAGCCGCTGTCCACTGCTGAAGCTCCGGCCGAGGGTGCCAAGCTCCCCGCCTGGATGCGCCTCTACTTCTACGGGATGCACGGGATCACTCTGGACGTGCTGGTGTCTTCAGCTCGGAGCTTCGTTCGCAGCCCAGACCTCCGGATGCTCGGCTTCTCCTCGCCCTACCGCTGCCTCCTGCACTCGCTCACCCACTTCGCCCTGGAGAAGGTCTACCTGCAGCAGCGGCGCTGTCCCAGCGCCTTTGTCTTCAATTTCCTCCTCTACCCCTCGGCTCACGTGGGGCTGCAGACCCTGACCGGCCAGGCGGTGCTGCTCAGCCTGGGCTGGGGGCCGGGGGGCGCAGCGGCGCCGGGGGCGCTGGACCTGGCGCTGCAGTACGTGCTGGCGCTCTACCACTGCCAAGTGTTCCTCAAGCGCTTCCTGCGCTTGCGGTACGGGCGGCAGCGGCAGCAACAGCGGAGGAGCGCGCTCCCCGCCCCTCCCGGCGCCCGGGCCCCCGCGACCAGTGCCCGGCGCCGACGACCTCGGGGGCCGAAGGGCGCCGGGGGAGCCCTCGGCCCCGGACTGCCGGACCTGCTCCGCTTTCTTTTCTTCGGAATGCATGGCTTTCTGGATGAGATATTCTTCACCTTCTTCTTTAATGTGCTGGGGCAGGGGGACGGAGCAACCAGCGGCCACACGTCGCTCTGGTCCTTCTTGATGTACGGCAGCTGCAGTTTCGTGGTGGAAAAGCTGTACTTCCATCTCCATTGCAGGCGCGGTTGGAGCGCCTGGAAGCGCGTGCCCATCTACGTGATCTTCATCTACGTGTGGGAGTTGTCTTGGGGTCTGGGACTCCGCACGTGCGGGGCTTGTTCCTGGGACTATTCTCACTACCCGCTCAATTTCATGGGCCTCATCACTCTGATGTATTTACCCGGTTGGATATTCCTGAGTGTGTACCAGGACCTACTTTCCAACGTGTTGTGGCAAGTACAGTACGTACCGACTAACTAAAGCCAAAAAAAGAAAAGAAAAAAAGTCACTGATTCCCCCAAAGGAATGTGATTTATTTTTACATATTTAAAGCAGAGTGGGTTTTTTAATCTTTTAATTTTTATACGCTTTACTAATCTCTTCCGATATATTTTCCTCGACATTTTAGTTCTTCTATTAGGAACCTATATATAATACAAAACTTTGAAATATTACTAAAAACATAACTCAAAGCACTTGTCAATATTTCAAAAGTTTTACAAGCCCAAACAGCAAAACCATCATACCTTAATACCAGAAAGCTGTTACTCCTCTGGACATAGATGAGTGATAGCTACTAATTCAAAAATAATTTAAAAGGAAGTTCTTTAAATCAGAGAACAGTGATTTTTACAAGATTTGGTGAAACTTTCTGATTTAATGATTTGTTTACTTTCTTTTTAATCAAGCTTCATTTTAATTCATGGCCATATTTACCAATGACTGCTGGAACTCTATGAATAGTACCCCTGAAACTATAGTAAATAGCTCTTAAAGTGCCTCTGTCTAGGACACAAGTGAAAAGAAGCTGGCAAATTTTTAAATGAGAAATCTTTTCTAGCAACTCAGACAGGCCACACTGTGTTAAGATATTTGATCTCCATCCTGGGAATGATTGCTTTCCAACGTGGCATAGCCTTAAACACCAAGTGTGTTAATGTTGATCGGCTCCTGTGTTATCCATGGCTGTAAATTTTTCTTATTGTGCAATAATGTAAAATGTTTACCCTATATGTCCTGTCCAAGGGTCAAGTGAAATTGTGTAACTTTTAATAGTGTTCTAACTGTTAAGGACCCTTTTCAACATGGAGTTTAAAGGGCAGGAAAAATACATTGAAATAAAATGAACTTGAATGTTCACTCTAATGACATTAGGCTTACTTGTTTTCTGTGAATACAGATATGTCTTCAGCATATCTCTATGTGGCTTACTTGTAAACATTTCTCTTCTTCCTTCTGGGCCCAGAGTTCTTGGGCCAACTCTGATGTGGTCGTGTGCATTATAAATCCATGGTATCTTTTCATGACTTAGGAATGTCTGGAAGCTCTAAAGTTAAATGAGATGTATAAACCACCAATAATGTTGTTTGCTTTTTCATTGTATTTATAAAAGACAGTAGAATCAAGGATGGTTTGGCAAAGGATGACCAATACTGTCTCATTTTTAATTACAAATATAATTGGGAAGACTTAATGGTGTGTAGAAATGAGTAGTGTACCATTCAATCAGCCTGCCTATGCTAGAAAAAAGGGTCATTTTTCAGTTTAAAAAAAAATGTTTGCTATGACAGTAGAAAAGAATATGTGTTTAAATTTGATTAAGTTAGGTATAGTTCTATGAGTATTGTATTATTTTAATCTACTATTTGAGATTCTGACCTGAATTATGAGTAATGATATATAAGGAACCCCCCTCTGTGAAATGGGTCGTGTTGAACATTATTTTAGCCAGTCAAAGGTAAGGAGAAACTTAAAAGTATGCTATTTGCAGACAGTTTCACTTAAGAAAAGTTATTTATAACATTTGGTCATGGAATGAAGATTCTGAAAACCTCAGGGAGGAAAAAAACAGTAAATATAGACACTAAAGTTAGGAAGATGCTGGACAAAAATATTTGTAACTCAAATGTGCCCATGAATCTGAGACAAACATGATAACACTTCCTAGGCCACATTCCTGGGAAGTGTTAACCAATTCTTAACCAAATTCACAACTTCTGAAATATTACTAAATGTACACATTTGCACAGTCACCTCACATGCTCCTCCTTGGCCCTGCTGACTTGCCCACAAGAGTTCTCAAGGTCAGAAATCCATCAGAGGAAGTAGGAAAGAATGCTTAATTTTATGAGGAAAGGTCAAGGTTTACATTCATTTAGTTCACTGAAGAAATAGTTAGGGAGCCTCTACTATTTGCCAGGCACGTACATGGAATCTGTGGGTACAACAATGAACCAACACAAAATCTCTGTCCTTGTGAAGCTCACATTTTAGTGTTTTGATTTACATGAGATTACAGTTATGTGCAAAGTGGCTGTTTTAGTAATAGGCTATGAGAGGCAGTTGTTATGAGGGCTCTCATCAAGCTTGTCCCTGGAAGCTTGTCCATCACCTCTAAAACAAAAGCCTATTAACAATCCCTTTGCTAGTTCTACAAAGAGCTAGTTCTTGTGAATTCAGGAAGTGATTAGCCTGTCTATTAACTCAGAACCTTGCTTTAAGCCTTCTCATTCTGTGTTGACTCAACTTCTTAAAGGTGACATTTGCTGCAACTTTTGATCTTTAAGGAAAAAGTGAGGAAAAAAGGAACCATCAGATCACTTAATTTTTTTATTCATGATCTATTCAAATACAGAAGGCAATATCATGATAGTTAACATCTAGCTCTTACCACCTCCCAGGGACTTTGGCAAGGTATATGTGTATGTATATATAATTAAGTGAATAACATGTTCATATATCTCAAATGACTATATATCTTACATATATGTATATATCATGAATATATCTTAAGTAGATAGACATTTATATGTGTATACATATATTTACTTAAAACTCCAACAGCCCTCTTTTTACAGGTGAAGGCACTGAAACCCAAATAGATTAAGTAACTGTTCAAGTTATGCAGCTGTTAAGCATTTAGATTTGAATCAAAGTATTCTGGGCTCCAGGGTCTGTTATTAACAGCAATGTGGTCATGCCTGACTCTACTAACCACAGTGATTTTGGATCTATTAGGGATTTCACTTTACAACCTATACTGTTCTTCCCTTCCACTACGACACATGGAGGGGTAGCTACATAAATGCCAGACACTCACAGCAGAAAGACTTTCCTGTTGTCTCTTTGTTCCATAATAAATAACAAGGGAGCTAATAGTAGGATGCATAAGTGACAATGGGCCTAATTCTAATCCCCACATGATGCATCTTTACATTAATATTAACTGGGGCTCTGAAACAGAGTCAGGTAATCTTCAGCACAAAAGTATCAGAATAATATGTCAAAATGCTAGACACTGCATATCATGATGTAGGAAAAATATATAACTACTGCTATACATTTAATATAGTCCTCAGAATAAGTGTCATTGAAAGAGTTAAACAACCAAAATTTACAGGTGTTTATTCTGAGTTTTACTAAACACCGCAGACTCTAAAATAATTTCTTAGTAGAAAAACATTAGAAAAAAACTAGTGACAACTGTAACATTTTAATTATACAATAATTATAAATGTAATGTTTTAATTATACAGTATTAACATTTCTGACTGGAAATGCTTTAAATTTTCAATCAATCCTATTTGGGCTTTGGATCTAAAATATAATATTACTTTTGAGTTTTTTGTATTAGCAATAAAAAGAGAAGTTCCTATGACATACAAGACTCCAACAAGGCTGATAATCCATTTCAATGTTTCAAACATTTTAATGATTCAGTGTACTTAAGTATAAATACTATATTATAAATATTTGGCATTTCTTGCTTCAACTCAGCAAAAGACAGTTTAGGAAAACATAACCTGTCCTTTATTGGTAAGAAATATCTCTATATAATCTTGCTCCTTTGGTGGGGGGGAAGAATTTCTACTCTTGAAATGGTTTCTGTTGGCATGATGGACCAGTTCTGTTTTAAAAGGATGGTGAAGTAAACGTTTTAGTAGACTTCTTTGGTTCTTTTTCCACTTCCAAACACATAAAACATCCATATTCTTGGAAAGGAAGTTATACTCACAATATAGAATTAGGGTAATAAATAAGTCATTATCTTGTAGAATCTGAAAGCATTTTAATAAAATCAATCTCTCCTTTTATTAAAAGTGTTTTACCTTTTAAATTAAATTTAAAAACTCTCTCTGTACCAGTGCTTAATGGAGCTAAACTCCTTTACTGAAGGAAGGAAGAGGGCACCAAGTCCCTCCCAACTCCCTCCAGGAAACACATGCCTCAGTTCATGCTGAAGGGAAAGATGGAAGTCAAAGATGGTTGTGTTGCATTGACTTTTTTTTTTTTCCTATTCTTAGGCTTGATACCAGAAGAACCAACAAAGACACAATTGTCTGTGTGGCCATCTATTCACTGGAATCAGCCTCATTCTAATTTTTAACATTGAGGGGCATCAAGCCAGCACACAGGCAGTGGCTTCCAGTCACTAGCAACCCAAATTGTGAATTAACCTGTGATAAAGTTAGAGAATTTTTTCCTTAGAGATTTTTCTCTCTTTCACATAATGATATATAATATAGAGAATTATTTCCTTATTCAAAATTATCTTCACAAAAATTGTCAAGTAAGTTGGTAGGCAACTTAAGTATAGAGAAAGGTTTAATCTTCATCTTACTTCTTAATAATTCTATTAAAATACCAAAGTCGTCAACTTTCCCAACTAGAACAAATTATATCTTTATATCTTTACCATGATTAAGGAGAATTAAAAGTTCTCCTTCATTAAGGAGAATGAAACCACGAAAGTTAATAACATACAGCCTTCCACATAAGGCAGGAGTCCATGTCTCTGAAAGACGCTTTCTCTGCTCAGCTGGTACTTCAAGGTGGCACTAACTGTGTTTTTTACATGAAGACTAAATGGAGGAAAGCTGTCAACAACTGAAGTGATAAACCCCACTGTCTACCAGCCAATAAGAATGCTTCCAAAGCTTTCAGGAGCTAATACATACCATTTATCCTGATTGTTAGCCCAACACATGTTCTTAAGAAATTATTTTCATTTAAAAAATCAGCATTTTATTATGTTCAGATTCAGACAACAGCACCCCAAAATGAAGGTTTCAGAAGCAGTGACAGGCACAAAAGCTTTTACCTGACCTTCTCCTGCTCTTCTGTCTCTGAGTTTCATTCTCCCCTGAGGCTAGCCATAAAAACTAGAATCCTTTGTCCTCCAGGTATGTCATAAAAGCCAGAATTCCCTTCCCCAAAGCCAGCCATAAAAAAAAAAAAAAAAAAAACCGAGAATCCTTCTT